AATTAGCGACTGCACGTTTGACACCTTGGTTGACATGCTTGTCATTAAGTGTCAACTGTTGTCAAATGTCAGATATTTGAAGACTCATCATTAGCCTTATTAAATAATAATAAATGTTGCAGTTTTAGATAACGAATGGGAAACTTAGGCCTTCTAGGCGAAATATTTCGTTTTTATTCGACCCTACTGTCTCTCTTTCTCGTTGTTGAATGCTAGTGTAGGTGAGAGAGATAGATGTAGCCGATATTCTGTTGAATAGACTCGCTGGCAATAAGATAGGTGTAGTTTATTTTCGGTGCATCTTCCGTTATTATACATTTTACGTAAAAAGCGGAATTACGACATTGTATGAAGCTTACAGTTGTATGTGCGTCAAACGATATTTTTATGTAGCGTGAAAATAGACTAAAATCACAATAATATCATTTTTAATACGAAAATTGTACATATTAGATCTAAAAGTTAGCTTTAAGTTTTATTATTATTTTAAGATGTAATAGATATTTGTATTTGTAAGATATGTTTAGATGTGTTTGTTTTACCATACATTGATAATTTTCGACCATTTGCTCAGACGCACGGGCTTTAAGGCTGACCGATGATTGTTTTATCACATGAAAGAAAAACGATTTGCGACATAATTCTTTGAGATATTGCAAAAACTGTTTCACGCGAAATTCAGCGGGCGGCTTTAGGTGTGCTGTGTCTTAAATTTGGTCGAATTATATTAGTCATTCTATATATTAAATATTATAATATTAGCCTAAGAAAGATGCTTTTTCACCGACATACATATTTTATTGAACCATTCGGCTTAATATTTCCCTTGCCAATATGTGAGGCATGAGTAGAAAATGATTTTATTTACTTGATTATAATTATTTTTATTATTATTATATTGTAGGGGTGAGACATAGATTGGGTGGATAGAACATTATTATTTTTGAGGATAATAATATTCTTTATTAATCATATTTAATAGATGCAATATTGTACTGAACATACGATAATTTTTCAAATATTTATTAAAGTAAAGACATACTACTTAAAGTTATTCATAGAGACGAATAATAATTAACGTTATCAGTGAAGCAAAAATTATTCGCGATTTTTCGATAAAGAATCTTAAATCAAGCTGGTAAGGTTTAAAACGTCTCTAAAGCAGTACGGTTAGCACGAAAAACTTTCGAGTTCATATCGTTTGCGTACTCGAATCGCCATCAAAAGATTTAGTAAGAAAACTACAACAGCGCCATTGTGAACGTGTCGTAAAGTGAACTTAGTATGATATGTGGTTGCACGAAACTTATTTTGAGAATCAAAATTGTCACGTTATCGTTAAATTCAAAGATTGAGTATCGAATTTTATCGAATACGCAAACGATTCGAAGACGAAAGTTGTTCATGCTAGAGGTACAGGTCAGTGCTTATTTTCTGAACCTGTAAAGTAAAATATAACGGTTGTTTTTTTTAATAACGCCAAAACTGTATTTTGTAAATCCCAAAATGGGTTGAACACCGGCATTTATTAGAAAATATAAAGTAGATTGTTAAGGCGAGAGAAAATAGGCAATCTTCGAAAGATCTCGAATAGACCTTTTACTATAACTGACATAAAAATAAAACAAATGAAGATAACACACATTGAATGTGAGCAAAAATATAAAGTCACAAATTGGCGTTTAAAGTTCTGTAAGCAGGCAAAGATCATAAACTATTCTGCCTAGTTTTTGGGCATAGGTCTTGATGGTTTAAGTGAGTTTTGAAAAATCTACAAAAAACTTTTTACGGACTTGATTGAAATCTAAAAGTGTTCTTTCAAAGATTGCCCATGCAAAAAGGAATGGCAGTTAGAGCGAAGATAGCAATATTTCGATTTACTTTAGGCTTTTGAATGTGATCAACATAACAAATTCTAAATTGACGGCGATAATGTACATGTACGCATACGTGTGTGCGTGTGGACAGTCGTGTGTGTCGGTGAGCGCTGCTATATTAATTTGCAGTAAGTGATTTTGTAAAAACTTATCGGTAGAATGCCATATTGTGATTAGTTTGTTAGCTACACGAAGTATTTTTCAAATAAAAATATCTATGTATACATGAAAGTCCCTTGTTTTATTCATATTTAGTGGTTTCTGTTAATTATTAGGCTATGCGCACACGGGTGACTTGTTTTCTCTTTAAAAAAAGTGTAAAGGAGAAAGATATGTATACTGTCACGGTGACAAAAAGGTGCAAAAAGTCACTCGTTCGCGCAAAGACTCATTTATTAAGCAGAACAAAACATCTTTAAATATCAGAGTGTTGTAATTCGACTGCACTCGACCCCCTAAAAACCCTCAATTGGTTTTGTACCCTATAGTAAAAGTAAAAAGAGTTCAAAATATTTTTTTTGAGTTTATTCACTGCTTCGATACAAGTTACCTAGGTACTCGCTATTTATGACTTCATTTAGACCGCAGTGATGAATATTTCGTACATAGTGAATACACCAAATGACTATTTAGTTATCATGAAAGTATGACTTATATAAATATTTCAATGTACTACTCATGATACCTCCATGACCTCACAAAAATGTGTTATTTACCTCAAAAATTTCTGAAATAGGTGCTGATCTAAATAGGTATTTGTGATAATATACATTTACTCACTTACAGGGTAAAATAATATCAATATTTAACCAATACTCAACAATTTATTGCATTTACTTAATAATTATGAACTTTCATAATAAATTCATATATTCAATAAATCAAGCTGGAAATCTCTATTTAGAAACCGGGCCTTATTCTCCACTGTTGTCACGCGTTCACGGATGATTTTTGTCACCGTGACAATATGTCTCTTTTTCTCTTTATAAAAGTGTAAAAAGAAGTCACGGTGACAAAAAGGTACAAAAAAATCACTCGTGCGCCATAGCCTTAGCGCTCTTTAAATATAACCCTCACTTTCTGTTTCAGGTAAGTCCATACATCTTGTCTAGATTATTCTAGGTAAGGAATTAATCTACGAACTTCTCTTATTTACTTTTGATGTTTACTATATCTGATCTATAGGTAGGTAGGTATTATTTATATTTGTTTTGCTGTAACGACACGGAAAATATCCCTATTTTTGGCGATTTTACAACAAATCGTCGTCGTCATTTCAGCCAAATGACGTCCACTGCTGAACAAAGGCCTCCCCCAAGGTTTTCCATAATGAACGGTCCTGCGCTGCCCGCATCCAGGCTCTTCCGGCGACCTTTACCAGATCGTCGGTCCACCTAGTAGGAGGCCTGCCCACGTTACGTCTTCCAGCCCGTGGTCGCCACTCGAGAACTTTCCTGCCCCAACGGCCATCGTCTCTATGAGCTATGTGCCCCGCCCACTGCAACTTGATTTTAGCAATTCTGCGAGCTTTGTCGGTTACTTTGGTTCTCCTGCGGATCTCCTCATTTACAACAAATAATTACTGGCAAATACTCAATAGCTCACGTGATAGGTATTAACTCAACCTTTACTTTCCTGTCCGCCGTAAGTATAGTAACTTTTTTGTATACGACACAGTTTGCCTGGATACTACACTCAGCCAAGAAGAAGAATGGTTGGGTTTTATTGACAGGTTATGAAAATTCGTGAGATAGGTCCCCAAACCAACTTAAAAAAAATATCCGGCTGGTCCTTACCACCCTGTATAAAGCACACGAAGGTATTTTTTGAAATTTTAACGTTGAAACTTTTCGTATATTCACCTTTTATGCAATTTTTTTGTTAGGTAGGTATTAAACCTTTATTATTTATTCGTGTAAGTAATATTTGAAGCAATGTTCTTCGGTTCTTCCTTGTGGGTTTTCTTAATATTTACATGAAGAAGCTGAAAAGGATAGTCAAGAAAAGTATAAATTCAATTGATAGTCTTCAGTCGCTCATGACTTCATGATAAGTCTTCATGGTCTTCCTAATATAAATAAATAAATAAATAAATAAGGTCGAAGGTGGAATCGAGCTTCACCCGGAATCCTCAACCACGAAGAAACAGGCTATCTTACCTCTAAATGCCGGAACACAACAAAGCTGTTAACATTACCTTCAAGTGGTGCGTCTAAAGTTAACTGATCATATAGTAGTTACTTAATTGTATTGTAATTATGACTCCTCAATATAGCAGTTGATCATCATTTCAGCCATATGACTGCTGAACATAGGCCTCCCCCAATGATTTCTTCTAGGCGAGGTTTTAACTTTATCGTTCGCTCGTTTCAGCCAAAGCCAAATGACGTCCACTGCTGGACAAAGGCCTCCTCCAAGGTTTTCCACAATGAACGGTTTAACTTTATACATGAACCTAATCACAAGGGCTTATGAGTAAACAATAATTTAGCCGTGCAAAGCCGAGGTGGTCGCTCGTAGCTCGGCTCGTAGTTAAAATGTAAATAAATGCGCGCAAGTTTATAAACTAAACCTTGTTTTCACTTGTCTTATTGTTTTTGTAAATCTATTGAGATGCGAGACAAGGCCAACAGAAGTTCTGTTGCTGAAGTATTCTTCGAAGATTACAATAGTCAGCAATTAAGAAAATTAGAATACAGGTGTGAGAAAATTCCTCAGACCAAACAAGAATGCTTATCCGAGCCCTTATCGAAATAAACTGCTTGTTAAAACGGCATGCTCTGCGGCGTTTATAGGTCAATGCGGGTGCTTGAACCCCGTAATTTTTGCGCTTTTCTTATACACAGAACGGGTTTGATTATGTAAGTGCCCTACTTTGAGGTTATGACTACCCTGCACCACGTGGGTATATCGATTTTTGCTATTTCTCAATCCCATTGTCGAAATGACCGTTAACTTTTGTCCATTGCTGGTTCATTCATGCATTGTGAATGTGGCGAAAAAAAAAACCCGCTGCGATCTTGGTGCTTGGTGTTGTTTCGTTCAATGCGTGCTGGCCGGCGAGACGTCCAATCGCAGCGCGCACCGGTGACACACCTCCGTACAGTTTTAAAATTGGAACGGCTGCGCGCGCCGGCTCCGTATCGAGCGGACGTCAGCCCAGTTGTCAGTTGTCAGCGGGTGCCGGCGAGTGCGTGTTGTGTTTGTGAACGCGGAGCTCCGACGATGGCTCTGCTGCGACGTCTGGCTGTGAACGCGCCGCGGAGCGCCCGCGTATTATCCTCCGCGCCCCCAACGAGAGACGAACTAGACCTCAACTTCAACAGCCCCAAGGATGCGTTCAAAAGCAAGAAAACGAGCGAGCTGGTCCGCGCCTACCTCGTGTACCAGATATGCTCCGTCAACTGGATCGTCGAGAACAACGCCATGGTGAGTTGATCGATCTCAGCTGATGCGTTATGTAACAACAATGGTTAATGTTTACAGTCTGAAATAACTCTCCGTCCGTCCTTGTGCGATCGCTTGGTGATTAATGACTGCCTAATTTCGGCGTGATTTTACCGAGTCAGCGATGCGTTTACACTGCGCGTCTAACAATGTTACCTAACTGAAATTTTCCTCTTCGTTTTAGTGCAAAAAACATAATGAGTTATCTTGGCAATCGATTGAAGATTGAGGCAGGTACCAGGCTGTCATGTAATCGAGGAGATCGAAGGCAATCGGTGCTTGAATGGCGATGGATTTTTGATAGGCTTCCCTACGCATGCGCGCGGGAGGGTAGCCCAGACTGAGAGCAGACACCTGTGCTGAACCGGCTTCGAGTTTTTGGCATGGCCGGGTTTACGTAACCTGTCGAAGGATGGACAAATTACAGCTTGTTTCTATGAGGAAAAGAAACCTACCTACTTGTAAAATGCGTGCCAAAACTAGCCACTTTTAAAAAGGAATCGCCTTACGCCTATGCATAAAAGCTAACGTAAAGACACTTTAGTAATAAAAAACATACCAACCGAATTGAGAACCTCTTTGTTGAAGTCGGTTAATTAATATGCTTGCTTAAAAGCTAAAGTAAAAGCAGCTTAGTAATAAAAAGTTGAAACTAAGAAAATTCAGACAAAACTTTTTTATTGTTTTAACAGGAACTTACTTTTTTTCCGCGAACCTTATGATCTGTGTTCTTAATAGTCCATCCAATAGGATTTCGGGATTCTCGGGTCTTGTGTTCGATTCTCAGTTTGCACTTGCTTCTGAAATTTCGGAAAGTTAGTTAAGTAGGATGACTTATTTTGGCGTAGGTAGGTTACCTAACTAAAATTGCATAACTGCATAGCTTAAAAGGGAAAGATACTGTAACCTTTGTGGTTGTTTTATCTTTCCTTTAGCAATAACTACAATGACTGTTAACTGTCAAGTTTATCAGTGAACATCAGCATGCTTCATTGATTTTCTAAAGAAAAGGACATATTCATTTCCTCTACATATTGATCACGATTCTTTATTTGCATCACTGAAGATTATTTCTTGGATACAAAGTTTCATACGTTCATTACAATAGTCACGTTTCAATTGTCTTACAGTTGACTGTAAGCACAATTGGATAGGCTTATTATTAGACACTTATTTTCAAATAGCCCTTTTTCATGGAATAATTAATGAATAGGTACCTTACGTAATATTATTCTTAGGATGAGTTGTATTAACTTACTTTAACCGTAACTAAGTTTAATGGTAGCTTTTTGTATGGAGTTTGATTTGACAGATTAATTGGTACCTAAAACGAAATACTTACATAAAGCCATAAGGCATTATCTGCCAGTTGACCTATGACGTAAACGTAGTGTAGTAATGACGAAAAAAGCAAGAAATAATAAATAAGCTGCTTTGTGTTGCTTGAAGCTGCATGAGGCTTGACTAAGTCTAGCAATAGACTGCCATATAGGTACTGAAATGATGATGATGAAATAGTAATTACTGAAAAAGTAACTATTCTATAAAAATCGTAAAGAAATCAGTAAAAATTGCTCTTTGTCACCATCACTTTTGAAACTTTTGAAGAAGAGAAATAGTGGCATGTTTGCCTGATACTTACCTAGTTCTTTATGCACCATAATGTCTACTAGACAGACACTGGCATTGAGTTAGCTAAAGACATATTTCTATGGTTTACTTAGGTATTTATTCATAAGCGACAAATGAGTTGTGGAACCGATCAGCATTACCTATTGTAATTCTGACGTAGATGTCTTGACGTATGATTTTACGGTGACCATCCATTATTTTTAGTTATTTACCCACTTATGTACTACCTAATAGCAATATAATAGTGCCTTATTCTAAATGGGGCATGTGAATTTTTATGTGACAAAAAGTCGTATAATGTCACTGTGTGAATAATTTCGTCAACGGTGTGCTAATCATTAAAAGCATTTTTAAGGCTGAGTTGCAACAACTTACTATAACCGTAATTATAACAATAACCGGTGTTTTTTGTATGGAGTTTGACAGGTTTTTGACGTTCGTAAGATGGTGCAACTCGGCCTTAGCATTTCTTAGCGATGCAATCCATGAATTTTATTTGATATCTTTGATGAGGAAAACAAGTTTTCCTTAAAAATTACACGAATAATTTTGAAATGCGACACGATTTTCGTAATTTTCCGAATTTTCAGATTAATTTTAAAATGCTAAATCCCTTTTTTGTTTGTTTGATTATAAACAATTATCTACGCTGGCTGGGAGGCAACGGATTGAAGTTCTTTATTTGCGTAGGATAATAGCAATCACATTGAAAATCTAATGGATTCTCGTTTGTTTAACAAATAAATTCATGCGTATCCATGGAAAAGTTTATGCAAAAATCGTGTACACTAATTTTCGGATACTTCGTGAAAAACATTTATTTGTATTACATTGTCGTGTGGTAGGTGCTAAACATGTCTAGACCGTATTGGTACGTCTTCTTTAAATCCGGTTTTAAGCAGTTCTTCAAACTAGCTAGTCGCATGGTAACTATAGTAGATTGTGCTAACTAAAAGGCAAATCTCAGCCCACGTGGTTTAATGGTCTAATTTGATACGGCGGCACCTACTACATTGTTCTGTTCAAGTCATTTCTGACGTCATTATGTCACATGAATGACTGACGTGTATGTAACAGCACCTTATTATACCTACATTTCGAAGCAAAATAGCAAAAAAATGCTAGTTTTAGCTTTAGGTGCCATTGTCAGAAGGTTTCATCGTTCTAGTCTAAGATCCCGCTATACAACGACCTTCACCGAGATGCTTATTTGATGAAACATATTTTATATTCAATTTAACATGTCAATAATTATATTGCTTAAGGGTTGCCTAATAAATTTCAGTCCAGGATATGATTAATTAATCATTAAAAATAGATTTTTTTTTTAATATTTCATCGGTTTGACTATTAAACAAACTCCATACCAATCGAAAGTATGAAGCCCATAGAATATGCAAACGTTAGGTTGCCTATTCTTTTCCAGTCATAACTCTCGGGTTGCCAGGTTTAAACAGGTAAATTGATAGAGCATTTTGCACCGGTCTGATAATTTAATCAAATTTAAATGAAAATAAAGATTATTTAATTATGAACACGGTGGTATAGGGTTGCCTGCGAAAAATCAGTCCTGAATGACGGTTGTCGAATTTTGTAAAGTGAAATTAAAACTGAAAGGTGACATTTTTCGAGTAGTTGGCAACATTTGGGAAAGACGAGTTGTATGAGGCGTTTGTGTGTCTTGTCAAGAGGTATCGCTTGGGTGAAGAAATTTCTCTAGTGTTGCCATGTTTTGGGAGAGTTGGTCCAAAAATGTCGAAAGTGGAAATAACGACTTCCGGTCAAAAATTTGGATGACGCCTCCTGCAAAAGGGTCGTGCAAATGATATTTGACCATTTTCATCTCGATCACCTGGCAACACTGGCAGCTACGGGGAAAAGTATTTTTTTTCGACATGGGTGTCTTTAAAGTTAAGGACGGACAGAAGGAGATATGGCAGAAAAAATCCAAAAATGGAGTTTGGTCGGTTATACAACCCAGATTATGGGAAAAATCCGAAAATTCAGAAAATCAAGATGGCGACCGAGTGAGCGGCCATTTTGTAAAAAGTTTCAGATTTCTGATTTTTCAAATGCATTTTTGGGCAGTTGGCAACATTTGGGAATGTCGAGTTGTACAGAGCGATTACGTAGTTTGCTGAGGAGTATCGTTTGGAAAAACAACATTTTCCAGTGTTGCCATACTTTTTGCATTTTTCGCTTAATCTAGACCATTTTCCGCGCCGAAACCCATTTTTACTATTTTTCTTACTTAAACCAATCCCGTGAAACAATTCCTTAAAACCACCCAAGTCCCAAAATTTTGTGGCCCCGTAACTGCCAGTGTTGCTAGGTAATCGAGATAAAAATAGTCAAATGTCATTAGTTTGACCTATTTGCAGGAGGCGTCATCCAAATTTTGGACCAAAAGTCGTTATTTCCATTTTTTACATGTTTTGACCAAATCTTTCAAAGTATGGCAACACTGGAAAATGTTGTTTTTCCAAACGATACTCCTTAGCAAACTACGTAATCGCTCTATACAACTCGACTTTCCCAAATGTTGCCAACTGCCCAAAAAATGCATTTGAAAAATCAGAAATCTGAAACTTTATACAAAATGACCGCTCACTCGGTCGCCATCTTGATTTTCTGAATTTCCGGATTTTTCCAATAATCTGGGTCGTACCTATAACCGACCAAACCCCATTTTTGGATTTTTTCTGCCATATCTCCTTCTGTCCGTCCTTAACTTTAAAGACACCCATGTCGAAAAAAAATACTTTTCCCCGTAGCTGCCAGTGTTGCCAGGTGATCGAGATGAAAATGGTCAAATATCATTTGCACGACCCTTTTGCAGGAGGCGTCATCCAAATTTTTGACCGGAAGTCGTTATTTCCACTTTCGAAATTTTTGGACCAAATCTCCCAAAGCATGGCAACACTGGAGAAATTTCTTCACCCAAGCGATACCTCTTGACAAGACACACAAACGCCTCATACAACTCGTCTTTCCGAAATGTTGCCAACTACTCGAAAAATGTCACCTTTCAGTTTTAATTTCACTTTACAAAATTCGACAACCGTCATTCAGGACTGATTTTTCGCAGGCAACCCTATACCACCGTGTTCATAATTAAATAATCTTTATTTTCATTTAAATTTGATTAAATTATCAGACGGGTGCAAAATGCTCTATCAATTTACCTGTTTATACCTGGCAACCCGAGAGTTATGACTGGAAAAGAATAGGCAACCTAACGTTTGCATATTCTATGGGCTTCATACTTTCGATTGGTATGGAGTTTGTTTAATAGTCAAACCGATGAAATATTTAAAAAAAAATCTATTTTTAATGATTAATTAATCATA